AGAGTCGTTATGTACCCGACAGTCGGCTGCCTTTATATTTTCACCTGTTTTCAGTTTGCATTCAAAGGGTACATTGCTGCAGAGCCAACTGTCGGGGATATAGTACTGTACCTTCATATGACTACTCATACGTATACAACAGAAAAAAACGTCGCATGGACCATGGAGCTCATGGAGTTATAAAATTATAAATAATTATAACTCCATGCATGGACTTAGTGAAAAATGGAGATCTAAATGAAAAAACGTTGAATTTTAGCAACATTTTACTTTTATTTTAGGCCTTCTTCAAAATACCTATGCCTGCAGCAGTTGATTTTTTTGCCGTAAAACCAAAATAGTTTCATCCATGCCGACTTTCCGGTCGGTTAGAGTGAGCCCTGGCAGAAACTTCACATCGATCTTCGCAACGCGATGTAAAACAAAATGTCGGAAAACTTTTCTTTGACGCATGTGCATTTGCATAAATGTCTACACACACACACACTACACACAATAAAAAACATAGGAAATAGCAAAAGTGATTACAATAGTTCCTATTGCATTACATGCATAGGAACTAAAAATTAGTGATAATAACATTGAAGATAATAGCAATAACAGCAATAATAAATTAAAGATAACGTTTATTTTTATAATAATAGTAATATTAATTAGTAATAATAATAATAATTATGATACTTATAATACTAGGCCTACTTCGATAATAAAGGTGACAACAACAATAATAATAATAATGAGAAAAATACCAATAAAACACCAATAACAATATTTTTAAAATTACTATTATTAAATAATAATACTAAGACTAATATATAATAATAATATGAATAAAAAATCGAGAATTTTTTTATTTATAAGGTAACAATAATAATATCAGCAAAAATTTAAATACATAATGTTAATGCTAAGACTAATAATTAATATTAAAACTAACCAACGGTAATAAAAACAATAATAACAACAATGACACCAATAATAACAGCAATAATAATAATTGTGGCCGAGTTGACTGCAGCCGAACGTTTTGTGGCTGAGTTGATTTGTGGCCGAGTTGACTGTGGCCGAGTTGACTTGTGGCCGAGTTGGATCGAATTCAGTACTACTACTAGGACTACTCGGCCTACTCTAGTAGTAAAAATAATAGTACTACGCTGAGTAGTACTGCTGTCTGTAGAGTTATTAATGCAGTAAATATCGTGTGTACTAATGAGTATGCATTAGGATATTTTAGCTTTCCGTGCACGAGCAGGCCCATCATTGGGATTAGTATAGTATGGGAGTTGGTGTAGTAGCCTATAGCCCGGCCTAGCGAAGTTGTAGTAGCCTAGCTAAGCTAGAGGAGTAGGCCTAGGCGAAAGCAGGCTGGGTGAGGATGATCTGCTTTGTCAATTAATTAGGCTTGGTTTGGGGGTCTATGAATAGCCTACAGTAGTACTAAAAACAGCAATGCGTAGTTCATTATTATACAGAGGTCTACTAGGCCTATTCCTTCTTACCTGCTAAAATAACAGCTAAATCGACTAAAAGATCTGCCATTTTGTAAGGCACCAACTCAAGAAGGCATCCTATGCGCTAGCAACAAAGTGAGCGCGTCTCGGATGTACCGATCGATTCCGCGCCGGGGCTTAGAATATTTTTAGCTCTTTTTGAGTTGAGGGGCGCTTATTCAAACTGACGGGGCGCTTATGGAAATACTGTAGATGAAAATTGAAGGGGTGCTTATGGGAAATTGGAAAATTCGAAGGGGCACTTTTTTTAATCGAAGATAAACGAATGGTTTTGGTGAAGAATCGTCGAGAGAGCACTATGGCTCATAAATATTGGGGTATTTACACAACAGCAGATAAAAGTATAGTGGCGGTGTGTCAGTGGTGGCCCACTTACCAGTGGTAAGCGTGTTGGCCATCTGCCAAATCAGATTAGCGGATTGCAGGGTTTCTTGCGTAATACGAGCGTGATGAGGTCAGTTTTTGTTGAATGAAAACGGTCATACAGTATTTAATTTTTAGATATTAAATACCGTAGTTCTAAATCCAAAAAGGGTATCAATAAAGCAAGAACGGGATTCTAAAGATGCATCAAAACTGAAAACCATAAACTTAATGGAGACTCATGATAGACCGACAGATGGATAGATGGACAGACCGACCAACATGCTAAGATAGATGCGAAGAGTTGATGCAGAAAATTAAATTGGTGATGTACTGCACTGTATTGTACTGTTTGAGGAAATTTTTTTTAGAAATCGGCCCTTATTCAAAATTGGGGCGCTTATTCACGGGGCATTTATTCGCGCGAGTACGGTAATAATATGTTTTATAGGGCCTTATGAATAGATGTTTGGTGCTCATCATAGCTTTAGCCTATCCTTACTTAGTTATCTTTTATTACTGTATATTGTATACGTTATGACGGACGTTGGCTGGTCTGGTTGTCTGCTCGTTTTGAAAACAAAAAAAATCGCATGCCCCCGAACCTCTAGGTAGTGTTAGGTAGCGTTTTCTCGATCAGCCCCACTGTCGGCCCCCACCATTTAAACATCTCTGGATCCGCACCTGGTAAGGCTGGTTTCCATCATTTTTTCCGTCGATTGTCGTGGTTGCCATGAAAATGTTCAATAAAACGATTCATGTGTGTGTGGCCCAAAGTGACGATAGAAGTTCGAAGACGTCATGTTAACAAGTTATTTTCAAAAACTTGTTTCATTGAGTTTATAAAAATAAATCAAATATAAATATGGATATATGATGTTAGTTACAATAATTCATGGATAATAGCCTAATGCACACTTGGGAGATGCGTTGTTCAATTGTTTAAATATGTCGCCAGATGTTAACCTAAATTTATGCAAAGTACCGTACCGTACCAATGTTGTCATAAAACGTTTTATAATGTCCCATTATGAAAACAAAGATATTGATATTTGTAATGTTGTTAATAGCTTTGATATATATATATATATATATATATACTGTCTCTTAT